ACTGGGTTGGCAATGAATCCATAAATGTTTGTAATGTTTGTTTTTGTTTTTTAAAAAAATATTTATTTTCCAAAAATAAACTGAAACCTAAAATTCATAGCACATTAATTATTCATTTAATTGTTTTTAAAAATGTACAACCTCAGCTTGCAATATATTGACATGGTATTTGAAATTATTTTAACTTTTGCAACAAGCTTAAAATAATTAAAAAAAATACAGACTGCTGGCTGCAGTCTCTTCTGCATTTTGTAAAGATGCGTAAATTATGTTGTTACCACAAACTGCCCACATGTGTTTTCTATCTTGGTGACTTTCAAAGCCTACCTTAATCATTTTTATGGTCATTCTGTGATTCTCATTAAAATGTTGTAATTGATTCAATACCCAGCTCTGCCTGACCATTGCCCAACTTGTTAGACACTCCAGTTTAGTTTTGCATATACAAATAGTCTCGCATACACAACATCTTCTTGTTTTAGAAGTCTGGATATGATCTTATCCTTTTGTTTTGAGAGGCCTGAGTGTCTCTTCTGAAGTAATTTGATAGAAACCAGGATGCTGTGGCATGTAAACAGAGCACCCGCAGCCCCAAACAGTCTCCATTGGCTAGGAAATCACAGTCTGAGAAGATATCGAAGAAGTTATTGGAGATGATTGAGACTTTCATTAAAATCCTGGATATTTAAATAAATTAGTAACAAGGCTTGTCACTTCTAATGTGAGCACCAAACTCCAGAGAAGGACTCTATAGTAAAACTCTCTTGGAGAGAAATGAGTAGAACTCTAAGTTTATTTTTTCTTATGTGGATATTTTGGCAATAATAGCCAAAAGATTTGTCAAATTAATTAAGAAAACAGATGATACCACTTCCATCAGGGCAGAAATGTAGTAAATACATACAAAATGTTTTTCTTTGAAGCATCTATGTACAATTTGGGATGTAATCTTCCAGTGCAGCAGAGGGCAGCACTGAGAATGTCTAGCATTCAATTAAAGTTAAACTTAATTAAAATACAACAGTAAACAGACTTGAAATACCTTTCTTCATCAAATTTAGAGTGTTTACTGTCAAATGTGTGTGTAAAAATGGCAACATTGTGTTTTTGAATACTGTTGAGACAAAATGACAATGTCTGTCTGCAAGTTTTACATTGTTTGTTATCAAGAAAGCATAACCCACTGATTACTCTTCTGCTGCTGCAATTAATGACCTGTGGCTGTAATATTTTCTCAACAGGAAGACCTTCTGTTTAGGGAGTGGGGGAACTTAATATGTAAATTTCTTGCACTTGCTATGAATACATAATTACATTCTGAAAATAACTTGTCTTATACTTACAAGTGTAGTTAATGACAGAATACAGGTCATATAGATCAAAACATCCTGTTTAGCTTTTCAATTTTATTCAGCAGTGAAGCCACAATTAAAGACTAAACTGAAGAAGCAAGCAATGCAAAGTAGAAACCAAAACAAGTACAAAATCAGCTGGAGGTAGAAAAGTAAAACTGAATGTGTATTACAGAAACTCTGATTTATGGAGATTAATGCACATGTTTAAAAAGGGTCTTCAGCTGAAACACTTGCAGCCTGCTGCATCTCCTGCTCAGACTTGATGTGACAAATGTGACATTATTGTCACATAAACTCATAAATGAGTTAACATGTTTATTTTTTTTTCACCGTACTGTGAGGTTATGAACTTTTATTGAGTCCTTATCTATTTATTCACTGCTTGGATCGCTGTTCCATGATGCAACTTCAGTGAAATTGATGTGTGTTACATCATTAATCAAATAAAGTAAAGTAACAAATCAATGAGAAAGTCTCGACATGCCCTAAATTACATGAAGTACTTTATCATCTCACTTATCTAAGCAGACTGTACTGTACATATCCCTGGATTTTCTCAAGGAAGTTCTAACAGTATCCAGAAATAATACAGGCCAATCTTCGCTCAACCTCTTAACAAAACCTGAAACTTGCATCGGAAATATCAGAAACTATGACTGTGGTGATGTCGTTGCGTTAAGGCAAACTTTCCGCTTAACGCTGTGTGTGCATGCACGTGAAAAAGGGACTTTTTAAACATTTTTTCCACTTAATTGTTGGAAAAAAACAACATAAAGAGATGGCTCACAGAAGAGACGCGCTCTCTCTCAGCTTTGAAATGAAACTTCTGAAAGTTAGCAGAAGTTGGGTCTGTTTTCTCTGTCGCCAGTACATGTTCTTCCACACTTTTATTACAAAGTTCTATACTCTAGAATGATTGGACTTGTCTAATAGGATGTGGCAGAAAACAGACTTTCTAAACCATTGTTTATTTTGTTTGTCAGACTTTATAAGAATGGCCATTTTTGTGCCTTATTTGCTTAAAACTAACACTGATTGTTGAATCAGTTTTAGTTCATTTAGTAAAAGACCAAATCATGATTGGTAAAATGTTAAAAATCAATAGTTGGTTTGGTAAGCTAATGACATACACATTAACGTAATAATAGAAAATTAAAATAAAGAACTAGACTTTAATATTTTGAAAACTAGAAGATGGAAGAAAAGTCTGGAAAAATAATTCATACCCATTTTTTGTTTTATTTCCATACTTATCCAAACTTTACTGGGAACTGGTAATAGCTTAATAAATCTCCCACACAGCCTCATCTAATTTTCTTTAAAACTCAGAAACAAGATTTATTGCTAACACTTTATTTGAAGACTGACATGACAGTCATACACATGAAGGAGTCTTCATGAATATTTATGATTGTTGTCATTAAGTGTTATTCGATAAATAATTACACATTTAATGCAAAGTTGACACTTTTAATGGACTTTTAATGCAACTTTGCACTAACTGTGATCATCATTTACCAAATGACACTTCATGAAACATTCATGAAAACTCTTTCATTTCCATGACGGTCTTACGCACACCTCTTCACATAAAGTGTTACCCACTGCTTCTGCTCAAATTTCATAGCATGTTAATTACTACCACTATAATCATCTTATAAACATGTATTAAATGTAGTACTTGCATAATGGACTGTTTTGCTATTCTGCTCATCATACAGCCACACAACAAAATTACTTTAATTGGGCTCTTGAGTAACTCTTAAGAGTGATGAGTGGCCCTCATGCATCATGACTGTTTTGGGTTGGTCACAACCAGACGTATTTCCAAACAGCAGAATTTGTCAGACTCCTCTTGTTTTTTGCTTTTTGTTCTGTATCATATCCCTTTATCAAGTCGCTCTACAATCCATTTCTTCCCTTACAGTTTATATTGGTTACAGGTTTGTGTCAACCTCCCAAAATTCAGAGCGAATATTGGTGGGATGACTTTAACTCCCAGTCTGTGTCAGTACTTTATAGATGATAGTGAGGAATAAAGACCAAATCATGATCAAGGAACAGAAAAGTTGAATCTTGAAAGGACTTTAGATATCTCGGCAAAACTGATCCTTCTGTACATAAACTGAGATTGATGACGCGCAAGTTTCGTCTAGTAAGAAGTTGAAGATTAAAAGCTAACAATTATGACATTACTTAGTGAAAATGCTTCCCTCTGAAACCACACTCCAAACTTTGACATGTTACATCTGTAAATCATGTATTAACTCATATCACTTGTATCATTTTTTAAAAGACAGATTAACATCACAAATTTTAACCGGGACGGTTTTAAAAGCTCAGCCTGCTAGACTGACTCCTTTTACCTGTGTGGACCACTTTGTAAAACTGAACTGAAAAAAGTTGGAGACAGTAGAAACTTAAATCGACAAAGCATTCAATTGATTCATTCTTTCATAATATATCTGGCTGTTGTGGACTGTTTTGTTCTGCCTCTTCTGTGACTGGTCCTCCTATGGTAGCTCCTATTTCATTTATTTTTAGCATTAGCATTCATATATAAAGTTGGCAATTTTGGACTGACTTAAATTGATAATCAGCTTCTTGTTACTACTTAACCTGATTTTGAAGCTTACACTTGAGCTCAGCAGGATCCCTTTAAGAACACATGACTAGGTTTAACTGGATTACAGTGGACCAGGGGGGATTTGTGGTGGTTGGAAACATCTATCGCTAATAGCTAATAGCTGGTATCCACCAACAACTGAGACCCCCTCTAAAACACCAGTTCTACCTGCCTACTTTATTAGTTCAAACAATTAATTAATACACACAGTGAAAACCATCTTAACACCACTGTAGAAGCTATTGGCTACCTTATTGCCACCATTCGGGGTACAGTCAGCTAGTCAGTGGCATGAAAACGACTGGTACATCAGTCGTTTGTCATAGCATTACACCTAGGTATCTGAGGTTCCCACATCGCATTTTCTTTCAAATATTGTCACCGTTCTAAAGTAATGGACTGTCATTTTTACCAAAGGTATATTTTTATACCTAAATAATCTTTTGGCAAAAAAAAAAACAAGAGGTGATTTTTTTTCTTTTCTTTTTTTTTTTCAAAAATAATTTTTAGTATAAAATGACTTAGGCCATTGTTTTGGGAAAGTAACAATATATTAGATATGCTAATAAGGTCAGACCTAAGAGAAAACCAGCAATTGGCATTGGCTAGGAAAAGCCTGAACGGTGCATCTCCACGTCCAGGCAACGAGTTGACCTCTGCCATACGACAGCAAAGATTGTCTGGATCTCCATCAATAGGGTCAAGAGTTTTGATTTTTCCTCCTTCAGTGCTCTCACACATCTGTACTTTTTTTTAGCTTTCTGTATCAACACAAAGACTTCTCTAGTTTCATTGACACTCCTATAATTTCCATCAGTTCTTTGACCTCATACACATAACGGTGAAGAACAATAACTGAGATTATTTTCACACATAATACAGGGTGTGTTTCTGATGACCTAATTACTGGTGTGTGGTTAAGGAAACACCTTGATCACCACATGCCCAGCTACCCCAACAGGAAGGCTGTAACTTCAGCACCAGAATGCAACGCAGACCGCCCCAACTTCAAAGATTACCTTAATAATGCTGCTCCGGCGAGGTATGTCAGATTTGGCATCCGGCCCCACGGAGGTGTTGGCGGTTTCTACTCCGGTTTGGCTGCCAGGTGTGAGAGGGGAGCCTGAGCACATCATATTCTCCGAAATCCCACAGTCTCCATTCAGAACCGACACTTCGCAATGCGTCTTCCCCGCAGCCTCGTCGCTGGGCACGGCCGTGTGCCCGAAATGAACCGGAGGGAGCCTTCCGTCCTCCCCTAACTCCGCCATAGGCACTTCGATCTCACACACTCACAGCACTCAAAAACAAAGGTTTCGCCTTCACTCTGATATCCCTCCCAGTCTTTTATTGTTATTACTACTGTTATTGTAATTATTGCCTCGGTGTAACATGTGCCGTCTCATCGCTCGGTGCTCATATCCGCCAGGTTCCTACGGAATGAGAGGCTTCCTCCGTGCACTGAGCTCCGTCTGTGAATTACAGATAGGATTTATGTTGACAGCATAAGGAGAGACCAGAGAAGAAAAGCACATTTTGTTTGCACTGGAAGCGGATGTTCTCAACATACAGCAGGCACCAGTCATTTTTCATGTGAACGAGGGGGGTTTATGCATGATGATGCCGTTCACACCTATTTATTTAAATAAAACAGCCTTTCTGCAGATAAAATAACCCCCTCACAGAACTCGTAATTAGCTAGAAATGCCGCCGGATCCGCGTCTTACCTTTAGAGCTGCTTGGTCTCTCCATAGTCACAGCCCGTGTTTCAGCTGAAGTTGTTGCTCCAGCAGCCTGAGGAGCAGACTGTCGTTTGTTTTCTGTCAGCTCAGCTAGTTAGCAGGCTAACAAAGCTCGCTCACTCACTCACTCGCCAGCTCAGGGAAGTTAGTTTGCCTGAAGTCCAACCGGCAGCTTCTGCTATTGGTTGACGAACTAAATGATATTAACCTGTCTCGGTCGGTTACTTACTGTGGTCAGCACCGGTTCGGCTCGGTTTTAAAAGCGATAAAGAGAGCCGTTAAATTTGTAATCGTCAGTCACTGAATGAGTCGTTTCCAGGGAACAAAGTTGTGTATGTCTCGTGAACGCGCACGAGGTTTGTTGTCACTCTACTGAATTATCTTAAACACCTGCACATTTTTCTGGTGTGTCTTTAAAAGTGAAAATTGTGGATTTTTCTGGTGTGTCTTTAAAAGTGAAAATTGTGGATTTATTGTAGACACGGTGAGTTGAACCAAATATTGAGCAAACAACCTTTTCCCATATTAAGTGTCACCTTCATTTGTCTATGCATGTGCAAGAATAAACAGCATAACAATGCCTCACCATCAGGGAGGAGGGAGTTTTGGAATATGAGCACATCAAACTTAAAGCAAAAGTTATTGTAATCCTGTGCCAAAAGGGGCTCAAATTGGGTCACTCAGCAAGGAAGAATCTATTACCTCAATAATAATAATAATAATAATAACAGATTGATGTTTTTCCAAATACCATCACACAGAGCCTTTAATTACAGGTGGCATGTTCTGTCTGATGAAAATTGAAGTGTTTCACCATAACGACCATTGTTACATTGGAAGGAAGCACTGAGAAATGGGCAAAAATAGTAAGAGGTGTGCCAAGTCATGCGACTTAAAAGGTGGTTCCATCTGATAAGAAAATTTGTGTACATTTCTGAGTATGAAAAAGTTTTATCACAGGAAGTTTTGCTTCATTTAATGGCAGATAATGAAAAAAAAAAGGCTTTTTTTAGTGTCTGTAAATATCCGACATCAGTTATATTCTAAACCTGTATTTTTCATTGATTATTACTGCTTAATGATGAGAATTGCATTTCATTTGGAATTAAAAGTTACCACTCCTGCCAATGGACATCTTTAATTTATCGTAGCAAAATACTTAGAAAGTTTTAATTTTTAGCCCATCATTTTAAACCATATTAATGTAAAGATGTTGAAAGTCAGGTTCGCATGATTAATCTCAACTACATTTATACAATAGTGGATATCATTCTCTAACTTTCGTTTTTCAACCAAAATGTTATGCTGCTTGCCATTTTTCTACTCATTGAAACATTTTGTTTTGTAATATTTTACATGCCAGTTAATTGCTTAACTGGCATGCTTAGCTATAACCATCAAAATTATTACCATTTGAAATCCCTTTGTACATAATGAATCTGAATAATATGATTTTTACTTTTTAAATAGAAGTAGGCTACTGAAATAAACATTGTTAAACAGTGGAGGAAAATAACTATTTGCCAGTATTTCACGTTTCCCCTCAAAGAATGGAGAGATCTGTAATTTCCATCACAGGTACAATTAAACTTTGACAGAAACTAAAAATATAAATCCAGAAAAATTACATTGTATGTTTTTTAAATTATTAATTTGCATTTTATTGCATGAAATAATGCCCTGCGACAGACTGGCAACCTGTCCAGGGTCTACCCTGCCTCTCGCCCGGAACGCTAGCTGGAGATAGGCACCAGCAACCCTCCCAACCCCACTGAGGGACAAGGGTGTAAAGAAGATGGATGGATGGATGGATGGATGGATGGATGGATGGATGGATGGATGGATGGATGGATGGATGGACGAATGAAATAAGTAGGGTTGAAGTAAGATTCTGTACCACTTATTATGTGGTCCAGAATCCTTCGTTTACTGTCATAAAGGTCTGATTTTTCCAGTAGCTCTTGCCCAGGTTTACTCACTCAGCAGCAGGGATTTTGGCCCACTCCTCCAAAAATCTTTCAGGTTTTTGAGCCACACAGAGCTTCAGCTCCCTCCAGAAGATTTTCTATTTGGTTCCTATTCCTATGGTGGCGATGTTGGAGACTGACTGATGTTGGACAGGTGTCTTATTAAAACAAGTACAGTTAATACAGTTATGGAGTGAAGGACAGGAGGTGTTCTCAAAGACAAACTTAATCTTGCAGTTTTTCAGGTTTTAAGGGGATCAAATACAATTTTCATGCAATAAAATGAAAATGCAATATAGACTCTTGAAAAGGTTCCTTCTTCTAAGAAATCTTTATCCAAAGTCTGCACATCTTGTTTCCGAAATGTACATTCCTTTATTATGAAAACTAAATCTGTTATTTCTTTCAATTTCAAACTGAGACTGTGAAACATATTCAGATGTTGACGGTTTTACTGAAAGCTACATGTGATGAATTCCAATGAAGTCATTTCAAAGCCTTTGCCCACATGACACTTGTTTATCTGTCACATCGTGTGCTTTGGTGATCTTCCTCTTTGTGTAGGCAGTAAATCGAAAAAAAAAATGTGCTAATCTCAGAGGTGAAGTAATTACTTTAACTGTCTCTTTTGCTGTTGTGTCAAGTTTCCTTTGCAAAATAAGAACACACCCTTAGCAAAAGGAAATTGAAGGTAATAGTTATAAATGGCTCAATTGAACGGTAGTTCATGTAAAAAAGTAAATGTAACCAACATTTAGGACACTGTATTCTATAAAACGCCTTGTGTGAGTAAAAAAGCCTAAAAGAATTTGATACTTGTTCATAGTTCAGAGGAAAGCAGATATGCCTACTCTTGGGGACATCAATGAAAAAAATGAGTTGTAGAACAGAGCCACCTGCTGGTCAATATGGGTACTGTTCAAAATGATTAGGATTTCTTATGATTATAGTTATTATAGTTAATAGGGGTGTAGTAGCCTCTTTTTACTCTGAACATTTCTAGATGTCTGTGGTCATAACAGAAAATCACTTTATTGTTGTTAAAGCAGAAATATTTACACTTTAATACCAATAACAGCACAGAGGATTTACTAAAGCATGATGCCACCAACACTTATCAGCACCGCTGCTCTAATTACTTTACACATCCCTCTTTTTTCCAGTTGACCAGCTCTAAGTTTTCTCTTTTAGCATTTCATAGTTTTTGGTAGCATGCAGAGCACAGCAGGAGTCCAAAGTGAGGTCCATGGGTTCAGTTTTTGTGCAGACCTGCGATTAAAGAATATTAGCAATCTGGTTAGTAACACAGACTGTTCATGAAGACTGACATAAGAAACTGCAAAAAAAAAAAAAAAAAAAAATACTGGAACTACAAGATGCAAAGAAATTACATTCTTTTAAATAACACATAGTATTTGTCTTTTACTGTATTTATAATATAATTTACTCACAAGAAGAGTTGGACCTACCAGTCCTTTATTTTGGCTAAATAAGGCAACCCTTTCAAAGAAACGTTGACTCATTTCCTGTTCCTTTTTTTTAGTTTTCAGGCAAAGGTTATGAGATTTCTAAGAAATGATTTTGTATTTCAATTGTTGCAGGATGTCACAAACTAACAATTATTCCCATAGATTTCAGAAGAGAGAGCATCCCAGATCATAATAGATCCTCTACCATACCGAATACTAGGCATGAAATTCTTTTCTACACATTCATCCTTTCTTTTACAACAATCATAGCTGGAAGTTTTGTTGTTCAAAAGCTCATTCTTGGTTTCATCAGACCGTAGCTGACAGTAAAAGTGTCATGTTCCGTGTTTCTGTGTGTTTATTTTTGAGTTTCTGTGTAGTCCTGTGAGTCTGTCTCTGCGTCCTCCCCGTTGATTGTTTCCCAGGTGTGTCTCATTCCCTTGATTACCCCGTGTGTATTTAAACCCACCTGTTGTCTGTGTTCCTCGTCGGATTCTTGTTGTTGTCATTGTCTATTGTATGTCGTCTACACTCTCCAGTCGAACTGCTAAGTCCTGGTCGGTGTTCGCTCGCACAAAGTCCTGTCGTTCAGTTGCTACCGGTATTTGGTCTCTCTGCCGTGCTGCCTGTTGGACTGTTTCGAGCTCATCATTAAACTCATCATCTTCACCATACCTGGGTTCTCTGCGTCTCTCCTCACCACCACCAACACACTTTATGACAAAAAGTAAAAAAAAAATAAAATAAAGTATTTTATGGACATGAAAGCAGGCTCCAATAGTTTTTCTTTGTGACGTAAAAATAGACAACTTTAGATGTGTAGTGTCCACTTCACCTCTTCCAATTCCCTATCTTTGTAGTTTAGTTAACCCATTTTTTAGGAACAAACTGTAAACATCTCATTGAAGGGATACTTTAGCTCAGCGTCTGTATCCCTATGTCCTCCCTATTGTAGTTATAACCAGAAAATGCTGAAGATAGCACACTGTGGCTGACAGAAATACGATGTTAGCATTAACAAAACGATTCCCAAACAGCAAGTGGTCAGAAACTTAGCTTACAGTTGCTGAGCAGGTGACGAATGACAGGTCTTTCATGTACTGACAGGTTTTCTGTTTTTGTTTTTTTTTCCGCTGCAGAGTCATCAACGTATTTTACTGATATCAGTTCTGTGAAAGAAACTGCAGTTTAAAGGAGCAGTTGGTTGGAAGCGGTGCTTTAATATTCCAGTTAATCTGGTTTCTTTTAAAATCACCTCGACGGCAAAGCTAATACAGCAACTGTGCATATATATGTATGTATGTAATTGAGGGGTTGGCAGATCAAGTCAGAATAACTTATGACTTAACTGAAAGGCACCTGGAGTCAAAGACAAACAAAGCCTAAACAAACCAAGAGAGGAAAAACGGGATGGAAAATATGAAGGAAATAATGTACTGAGAAAAAACAAAAAGGAGTGTGTTTCCTGGAAAAGCTGACATGTTTTAGCTGCAGGTGATCTAACAAGGAACGGAACAGGAAGGAAATCAGGAGGCCTGAGGGAGGGAAAATCCAAGAGACAAACCGATTTTAGAACCAAGAACAAACAAAACAAAATCTCCCCAAAAATAAAGTCGTAATAATAGAAACATGAAAAAGCTACAAATAAAACCCGCTGAAATCTTTTTTGTTTTATAAAACGTTTTAAAAACTCCAGAGGTTTTCATACTACAATATGTCTATACTGTTGCATAATCTTTCACTTAATTGCAATTTCCTATGTTAAACTGAATTATCTTTTTTTTGTATATAGATTTACCCACAGAAATGGGCCCATTCAGTTAAGACAAGCTACACCCAAAATAATCCAATTCTAAATTATTACCTTTATTGTTCTTTGCAGATAACGGCGTTATATTCAGTACAGATAAAGAACACATGTGAAATTTAAGTATTCTTGCTGTTCAGTCTAATATATTGGAATAATCTCAGTGGTACATTTGCATGAAGCAGGACACCAGGCAAACACCAGCGGGTCGCTGCATCCGCTGAGGACTTTCAGTCTGGGACAGTTGATGAAAGAGTTTATATAAGGGCAAGGATTGGCTGAGGAAGAGAGGGACAAAATTAGGATGTCTTTTAAATACTAAGGACATGTTTCTGTAAGTTTGTTACTCTACTTACTGCAGAGTTTGTCCACACAGTTGTTTGGGCAGGAAGCACACGAGGTCCCAACCTTGTAGGGAGGCCATCTCTTAAAGTTTCCACTAAGGGACGAAAATTGTTTAGATTTTGTAAAGAAGAAAATAATATTCTTATTCAAAAATGTGTCTAATTTTCCCTCAATACTCAACAGATTTTTTTGTTTATGACTGACTTTTTTGCACATTTTGTTTTGTTTGTTTGTTCACCAAATCTTAAGGCCTGTATTTAAAATACTCAACATGATCCATTATAATAAAGTGGAAATTATTAAAAAAAAAAAAAAAAAAAAAACTTTTGCAAACTTTCACAAAGCTTGGAAAAAAAAATCACCCTTCAGATATTTCTATAATTTTAAATGAATGCACCTGCACCAAACTTAGTTTATTGCATATTATCTGGACTTACACTTGAGTGTAAATGCTTATATAAATTATTATTTTTTCATACATTTGCAAAACATGTCTGCATGGTGTATTGTTTGTTGAATTCTGAAAAATTAAACAAAATAAATCCACTAATGTAACAAGATGTGGACAAAGTGAATGGCTTGCAGATGCAGTGTAAAATAGACTTTCCTGAATTACTTGTAAAAATGTCACGTACGCTCTGAAATAATGGCAGCCGTAGAAGTAGATGTTGTTGGGACAGAGAGCAAATCCACAGCCCACTTTGTAGGAGCTGTTCCACACAACCTGGCAACACAATAATTACTTGTCATTTCTGGGATGGTTTCATTTTGAAACATTCTTGCAAGAACTGCAACCACAGGAGGAGCCCTGGACCCGGAGAAGTGAAATGTTTTTCATAAAAAAAAAATGACACGGTTTGATAAAAATGTGCACCTGTGTGTAGTGACCGATGGGTCGTCTGTTGGTGGATCCATTGGGGTAAAGATAATGCGACTTTTCGCTATGCCAGGCCGTAAGAACAGTGGTCCATGAAGATGGGGAGGAAGTATAGAAGAGATTCTCACCTAATTCATATCCTGGGTAATGGAGGGAAACACATGGCAGCACTGATTAATGAGTATTTGCAGATAATTTTAGTTTTCATCCCCCACGAGATTACACTATTTATGTAAAGCAGGCTTCATTAAAAAAAACAAAAAAACAATTGATGATAGTCTCCTTCATGATAGCATCTCAGCTAATATAATTTATTATCAAAATAAGACATAAGATGACATTCGCAGTATCTCTGACCGTTTATCACAAGGGCAGTTGGTTCAAAAAGAGCTTTTACGTTAATGGAGGAAATATTTACAACCCAAAACGATGAAAAAGAAAAGAAGGAATATAAAAAGAGGCGCACAGCAAACGTACCGTCAAGCAGACGGGTGCTGGCTGGTCCATGACTGAGAGTACATTTATCCACCCAGGCCTGAGCGCTGGCCGCTAACTCTAAACTGTAAGTCTGAGGGGAAAAAAATGAATGTTTAATTCTAGTTTCAAAGAACAGGACAAGCTCAACCAAGAAAAATGTTGTATTGCATAATTAACTGACGCACACAATAATCATCATACTAAGCTCCAAATTATTATTTTTGCATCCTGTGTAGAGCTTTGCTTCTTTCCTAGAAAATAAAGTAATAAGTCTGTTTCTCCATTGGATTTTGCATTTATATGGTTTGCTTGTGTTAGGCTTCAGTCAGATAAAAGTTATAGTAAAATAAGAAGTACAAATACAAAAAGTGTATTTTCTAAATAATCACATTAAAATAAGACAATTATGCAAACCAACATGAAAAGTTGGTTTCCCCTTGAATCTTGTGTGCCACACTTAGTGGCTACAGCTCCCAGTAAGTTTTTGCAGTAACTTATGAGTCTCTTAAATTGCATTTGTATAATTTTGGATCACTGTGTTTGGTAAATAATAAGAGGAGTTTTGAGACAAAGTAAAAGCATATTTAAAGAATAAGACAAAACATCATAATTGCATTTAAGTTCAGACTTTGACTAGACATTTGACTAGGCTGGTTGTGCTTTCAGCTTAAGGCAATGCAGTCCTTAAGGAAGAGGATTGTATTTCCTTATCTCTATATTTTAATATTTTATTCTTAACTTAGCACAATACATAGGGAACATACTGGCATAAAGAGACGGCTAAACCCATCAGTTTTTGCTAAAAGGGATTCCTATTTTACTAAAACATCTTTTGGAAAGGAAGATGTTGTGATTTTTGACAAAAAATGACTTCAGCCGTTGTTTTAGAAAGGTGATATGTGAGTTTTACCCATCACATAATTGACAAATCGTCTCTAATAAGGCCAAAGATCTTATTCTGCTATTGATTCATGTTTGGTGCCATTTATTACGATTGAATGATTACATTTTGTAGAAATAAGAAATACTGATCATTTGTTTTTCTTTTTTTTTTTTTTGTTTATCAAACAGGGGCCTCAGTTGGGCATAAGAAACTACGCACAACCACAACAGCTCGGCATCTTCTGCTGCTGGTCATCAGGTTGGTCACACACTACTGTGGGATGGCATCTCATTTCTCAATCAGATTTTGTCACAAATCACAACTCAAGTTATCACACAAATTGTTTTCACGTTATGAATTAAACGATCTGCCAGTCAAACCAGTACTTTTTCATCAATATTGAGAAATTATTTACTTAAAACATGCTCCTCTATCTTGCTGAAAAGTTACCTCTGTTAGCTTTACTAAGATATTTGCTCTAGAAACGAGACCATAAATACTTGGTAAGATTTTGTGTTTTTGCAGTGATCAATATGATGCAACATTTTGCTTCCAAGTAGCTTAGCATGTTTGAAGTGCTTGTTAATGGTTATTTTCCCTCTTGTTGTTTTCATTTCAGTAAAAACTATTTATGTTACATGGTTGAATGAATAGTGCTATAAAATGTATTAATGATTAATTGATGGCAGTAGCGTTAAGTTTCACAACTATTTTTCTGTTTGGACCTATTAGACGGATTATAATGCATAAAACATTGGGGCTAAAGAAGGACTTCCTAGAAGACGATGAACTGAGATTAAAAAAAAAAAAAAAGAAAACATCAGTCAGGAGATGGATAGGAAACCTATACTGATTGCATGAGGGAATGAGGAAAAGAAATCAGGTTAGTTTATGTGATGCTGAGATTGGCCATGTCCAAACTTGAAAACTACTAATTGAGCTTGTGCATATTATCTAAAGCAAAAAGGCGATAAATCGTGTTTGGACATGAGAAGTTTGCTTTTTGTGCATCTTGATGGTTTCACACCTACAATCTTGAGTTTGTTGCATCTGGTAGACGGAGTTTGCAGGTTTTCAAATATATTTCGACACATCTAGCACAACTTCACTGACAAAATATCTTGGTTGTCAAGACATCATCTGAAATTGTAGCAGATGATTAATAACTTTATTATTTGGCCAGCTTTTAGCAATGACCCAATGACAATCTTTTGTTTGTTAGTTTGTTGCTTATTACTGTTTATTATTATTGCTTAGTTGCATAAAATCAAATGTTAAGAAGGACGTTGAGAAGGGACCGACCATCATCAGCATGTCAGCAGCAGCAGGCTCAACTGCTCTCCTGAAGGCGTTGTGAACATTTACGATCTCGGCCTGCACGGTTGTGTTCTCCGGGCAAACATCTGTACACACACAAGAACACGCACACACACACACATCAGAAAGCGATGTGTAAACAGCAGATTAAAGACACAATGAGCGCTGACATTTACTCTGGCGGCTTAAGATATGACTCACAAACACATCCTGGTTTAATTGCTCTGAAATGGCTTGATGTAACAAAGGAGCACAGACACAGGACTGAGCTAAATCCACTAATCTGACTGTGAGCCGTGCTGGCGAGGTTTCAGCTGATGCCGAAAATAAAACGCTGCCGCTAAACACGCCTGCTGGGTTTAACGGGGCGCTTACCTTGCTGTGAACACATGATGATGTGAAGCCATGTGCATGAGGGAATGAGGAAAAGAAATGAGGTTAGTTTATGTGAAACAAACCTGTGAGTAAGCAGCTCATTTAGCTGTTTGGTTTTCAATAATGTACAAATTAACACCATGAATCTCTTGTTAATTGGTTCCTGAAAACACCTGAATTCCTGGTGAGAGTTTAGTGCTTGTTTCTCTTCTTAATTCTGTGACAAATGACTGAAGTCAAAACAACCTTTGTATTGTTTCTGCTTGTTTTCTGCTTGTCATCTCCCTTCAGATTTCTCCCATTGAGCTGAATTTCTCCAGTTGTTTCAACTGGGCCAAACAGAAGGAGGAGTTGTGAACAATTGATGTTTGATTTTTTTTTTTTTTTTGTGTTTATTGAGGGCATATAGCTGCATTTCCTGCAGACCATGTCAGGATTGGTTGTCAAAGTGAAAGAAGCTAAATGACCAGAACCCACAAGATATTTTATTGCTTTGGGGAAACAAAGATAAAGATAGTTAAACTTTGTTACACCAGTTCAGTTAATCCAGCCATACAGATTTGAAACCCATTCTTTGCAGTGTACAGTGTGGTAAATTATTTATCCCTTTATGGGTTACTTGTGAGTTTTGCTTTTCCATTACATTTAAATGTTTCAGATTATCACATTTTTACATCATACAAAGATAATTCAAAATACAGAATTTCAATTATGATTTATGGAGACAAACTAAAAACCAAGTGGTCTCATCCGAATCTGGACTTTTATCTGATTTTAATGTCATAGAGAGACTGTTTGAAGAGGCCGATTTAAAACAATTGTGCAAGAAAGACTGAACAAACATTTCTCCACAGCAATGTAAAAGATTAATTTCCAGCTTTTGCACACTTTAGTTGACAGGCAGTTGTGGCTACATCTTCACAGTGGGCCAGGTTGGATAATGTTCCTATGGAAAGATTGATCTGAAACATTGATGTGTGGCAAGAAGGGAAAAAACAGGAGAAATCACTGATGGTGCAGTTATTTTTTTTAGCACTGTGGAGAAAAAAAAGAAAGAGGCTAACTTAAAATGTATGCACTTACTAAACTTCTTCACACAGATTTGAGTTCAATGCAAGCTTTGATATTCGGAAGCTTCTGTGAAGAAGTGAAGAAAAGAAGCACAAAAAGGTGCTAAACTCAGCTAAATTCAAAATATAATTTAGATCTGTTTTCAATACAAGTGATAGAGTTTAAGATTAAACTAGGGAGTGATTTCCAATCATTTTGCATATTGCAGGCTGGGATAATTCAATGTGTTAGAGTCACACTCACCACAACACAAGCAGTGTGCACATCTTGGAGTGTCAAGATGCAAATCAAGATGACAAACATCTTCCCGACAATAAAGAAGATTCCTCTACAAAAGAAGTGCAACACTGTAATATTCTGCACAGCCTCTTGACTCTTCCTTGTCTTCAGAACAAATATGACTTTAGTCATTCCTAAATAGGTTACTTTCTTTTTTCCATGATTTATTGGTTTTTAATTGAGCTCAATAACAAGTGCAAAAATAACAACAAGAATATACGTACATTTTTAAGTCAAAGTGAAACCCGTCTGAGGTTTGCCTTCTCGACTGATGGATGCTCTTCTTAGATAAATCTATTTGTGGCATCAGTTACTTAAGGAAACCTCTGAACTGACATACCCGCTCTTTGGTCTTCTTCTTCTGGAGGAGGTGAGTTAAATATTTTCTTCTCCTCCTTTTATAGATCCAGCTCAGGTGGTCACATTCCCCTCCAGGTGATAATGACACAGCATGAACCATGTGGTTTACACAGCGAACTCTGAACACAAAAAAAACAACAAATTCATCACCTTGTCCTGAAGGCGCTTTTTCTTCTGCAGGGTGCAACTGACAGGGAGTCCACAATGAACTGTTAAGCCCAGGGGTTTAGTGAATTCCTGATATATTAACCCGTGTTTACACAGCAGAGAATGGAAACATTGAGTTTAAGGTAAATAAAGGTAAAGGCCTACTGGTAGGGTACATTAAACTAAATGTCATGTATGTAGATGGATACAGATTGTGTAGGCTGAAGACACACCCTGTAATCGTTTTAGCACATGATGAAGGATGAGACAAAGGTGATTCTGGGTAGCAGAGTACCTGTGCAATCCTTATTAATGTAAAGATTTAATTAATTAAAGGAGTCAGCATTTTCAGGGAAAGGTAATTCTCTCTCACATGCTGGATGCAGCATTTTGGACCAAAACGTATTCTTTTTTTGCCTTAAGATTCTCCGCTTGTTTTTTGAGGATTGATCATGTGTTGCTGAACTTGAGCTTGCTTTCTTGGGTAAGAGACAAAGTCACACATGGATTGTATCAGGATGTTTAATTGTTGGCACCACCTAGGATTCGTGCTACAATTCATCTTTCTTCTGCTGTGAACAAAGGCTGCAGAAACACCAAACAATCAGATGGGATTTTATAAAAAGTTATTTTGCACCTGTCTTCTTCTTGCCATACTTATGTTTTTTGTCGAATTTCACACTGTCCTTCGTCTTGGTGAGCTTTTGTGTTGTTGTTTTGGAGGGATGAGGGGTGAAAATCATCCTGCTAAGAAAAGGATGCTTTTCTTGGCAGAAGTTTTCTTCTCCTCGCTACTGATGTAGATGCACTCAAACCTAGACTCTGCACTGGTGGGAATAGGCTTGTCGTGATAAATGATAAATCAATTAGTCGCACGATAAATTAAACCTATCGACCTCATTTTAATTATCGGCTTTATCGTCTCTTCATGCCGTTTTTTTCTTTCTGTTGATGACACTGAATGAAAAAAGGCTCAGCTCCGGTGCTCTCCACTGACCCTCCCTTCCTCATTTCCTTAATGTAATGTCCAGCGCACACTACACGAGTATCAGATAGCCATACGCTGTCAGGATAGCATACATGCAGTCAGTACCATGCCCGCGCATGCGCATTAAGAAGTCCGACCGTCAGTGAAGTTGTCAGTTCACCATACGCAACAAGTTATGACGAAAAAAAGTCATTAAATTGTTTATAATATGATAACTAGATAGATATACATGCGTTGTCGTGGTTTCAAAGTGTATTTAAAGCAGGTCTGGCTGCAGTGAACTACAACACACGCCCGTGTAAAACTCATTAACCTACTTAACCGCTAAGTCAGAATGCCATACAGCTGTTCATAACAAAGTGTATGATGATCTACGTCATGATTCTATGTTACTGATTTAATAAAATCATATGGTAATAACAGCGTATACATGTCTGAGCTAAGCGTACAACTATCTGACAACGTATACTGATCTGACAGAACATCGGCCCATTTTCAAAACCTGAGGGACACATTAGCCAACAGCAATCCTCGGTATGACGGTTCGATCAGGTTCAGCCGTGTGCTGTCCAGCCACCTGGGCACAAAATAAGGGCTACAAGTCCAGTTAACTCATTTTAAAATCAGGCATTAATCAATGCTTTACTAGAATCTACCTGTGATGCATGTGGCTAGTCAGCGTAAAGTCCCGACTGAATGAAAATCATTATAACCTATTTATGTCACGTTAACGAAGAACAGCTGAAAAGTTACCGGGTTCTTCAACTGCGGTAGCAATTTGGCTCCAACTCCTCCCCTTGTCATTTCTATATTCTTTGCACGAAATAAATAAATATTAATGTTGTTTCCACATATCATCTCCGATGTCCGCTGGATTTTGGGTTGCGCTGTGTCAGCTGTTTGGGATTCCCCTCGTAATTTCCCCTCAG